GGAATCTGCACCAATACAGATATTGGTTGGCTCTGATATATACAATTCTTGGCCAACAAATTAAGCTTTTATGAACAATATTTTCAGAAAACATTCATTTATCATATGTCACTCTGATAAGTTGATGCTTGTATATAGATAGTTGTCATCGCCGATGATCACTTATTTCTCTAACAACTTTAGAAAGTAAAGCTTAATTCACTATTTGAGGAGCTTAAAAAGTCACAACTTTATAGAATAGAGGATTTGATCAATAATGCTAACAGTTTTTTTTTTTGAACCAAAAAAAATACAGAAAGAAAAAATCCAATGTGGCAATGACGCAATGTGTATATAGATCCCCACTAACGCATCAAACCATATATATCTTTTCAAAAGAATAAAAGAAAAAGTTTGTGAGCAGAAAGAAAAAGAAAATAAATATTTAAAGCAGACAAAGGGGAATGAAAATGAACCATCGATCAATTAATAATGCATGACTTGAAAGCTTTGATCAATTATATATATGCGCGTGTGTGTGTGACAGGGGAAATAAAGAGTGTTATTTGTATATTGCAAATTGCATGTCCCTTTAGCAACAATGTGTTTTTCAACATTTTTTTTTTCCGGTCAAAAGTTCTCTAACAATGTTGTTTGAGCATTATGTTTTAGTGCCTCATTGCAGCCTTCTCCTATTGGACTCATAGCTTTTTCGGTTTTAAAAATTTCCTTTTCAAAACTTCTTTTTAGAATATAAGCGCGCACACACACATGTATCCTTTATAATTATAAATTAATGTAATCAATATAAAATATAAGATCTATTGAAAGATGGCCACAATTTTAAACAGAAATATTAGTGTGTTCACTCGTTCTTTTAATCCCATATAACGACAACATATCTAGTATATATTATTATACACCAAATTTGAATGGTTTCATAAAAAAATCCTAACCACCCAAAAATAGGTAAGTTAATCATTTCCACTGCAAATTTTTTTATTTAAATAGTTTTTTATACCAGTCATTGGCTGAAAATGCAATGCAAAATACATGAAGTTTGATATAAGCTGCAAATACTCAACCTTTTTTTTTTTTTTTCACACTGAGTTTCTGCCCTTCACCACTTGTGCAATATTCTGAATAGCTAGGCCAGTGCACATATACATAAAGAACATAGATATTTTTTTTAAACAAATAATAAACTTACAACTGAAGTGATATGATATATTTCTTTTTTTGGACCAAATTTTTCTGTGACATGTATATGACATGCTCGTGGACCGTTTTATGTACGCTACATGCAAATTGAAGTATATGACATGTACATGACATCCAACATTTTCTTTTGGGTCAAAATACGTTGAAAGTTTTTATGTAAGCTACATGCAAAATTGCAATTGCAACTGCAATATACATGTACATGCGGGAAAATTTGAAGTTAGGCTTAATATGTACAGTTACACAAAAGTTTAAATATTTTTAAAATCATGAAGTGATAAAATGAAAAATAGCAATGAAGTCTAAACAGTATAATAATGTGTGTGTGTGTGTGTTTTCCCTTCTTTTCAAACATTCGGTATTCATGGTTCCCGGCAAGATTCAACGTCCATTCGTAAGGAAGGCTATATATAGCGACTAAGGAGAGGGCCACACACAACGATTCATTCACCTTTCAAAAAGCCTTCACACCAACGACGTCTTCGCATTTTCTCGCCTGTCCTCGTCACCCATTTTTCTGATTCTCTCTAAACTCCTTACAGAATCACTAATATAGAACCATTATATCTTCCTTTAAAACTTCCTCAATCCAATACTTTTTCGCGATAATCGCTTGCCCAGGTCTTAAAGGAGCAACTTTTTTTCTTCTTGTTCAAGAGGGTCGGTCTCTTGTCCTTTTGATTGACGGCTTACGACAAATTGCGCGACCCGGATGGAACAGAATAGCGTTTTGTTCTCCGCATTGAGTGTGGGGGTTGGGTTAGGTGTCGGGCTTGGGTTGAGTCAGCGTCAAACCGTGCAGAAATGGGTTGGGTGGAATCGTGAGTCTCGAGAGCTTACTGGGGAGATGATTGAGAAGGAGCTCAAGAGGCTGGTGGTTGATGGAAAGTGCAGCAATGTCACATTCGATGATTTTCCTTATTACTTGAGGTAATCTTAAGTTTCTTTTATTGTTGCATGCCATTTTGCAGACAGAAAATGTCAGGAAACTGTTATAGCATTTTGAGTCTGTCAATTTGATAAATAGGTTGAATTTCTCTTGATCAATTTGAGTTCAATATATTTGGCAAGAAGATTCAGTTTTGAAGAAAGCTGACTTATACATGTTATGAAAGTTTAACTTAATGAGTATAATGGCCATGGTGGATCAAAGGCTTTTTAGACAATGATCTGCTTCTGGTTGACTTGTAAATGGAAGGCATTTCGATGTGAACCTGATGTGTTGGTACTTCTAAGCTTGTTTTTCCTCATCTTTTTTAAGGATTTTCTCGGATTGTTCATCATTGAGTTCATCGATGCTCTCATGTGAAACCCAAGTTTTTATTTAGATTTTTTTGTTGGCGTAGCTATGTCGCTATGTCAAGTAAATTGTCCCTTCCTGTTGGCTACTATCTTTAATGAACCCGAACTCTTTCTTTCGTTTCTTAGTCTAGTACATTCCAAGGATTGCACTGTTCTCTAAGTTACTGCTAGTTGAGTTTTTATATGTGGTACAAGCAAGCCTTTCATATTGTTTTGTGAATTATGGCCTATCTTTAGCATCGCTCTGCGTATATGTGAACTTTAGTCCATTCAGAGATGAATTTAGTCTAGCCTTCAAGGATTTTTTATGCTCTAGATCTTAACTTCTTGTTTTCATTTGATGGATACACTTTATCTTATTGTCACCGTATGATGATGTGATGGCAGTGAAAGAACTCGAGTGTTGCTGACAAGTGCTGCATACGTTCATTTAAAACAATATCACTTCTCAAAGCACACCCGAAACCTTTCACCAGCAAGTCAAGCTATATTACTTTCTGGACCTGCAGGTATATTGTGTACAACTTTTGTCCGGTGATCCACGGGTCCGCTTGCTTTCTACTGACTGTAATTCTAACTTCTACAGAATTGTACCAACAGATGCTTGCCAAAGCTCTAGCACATTACTTTGAGTCAAAGTTGCTTTTGCTAGATGTCGCTGACTTCTCTAGGATGGTAATTATTTACTAGACTTCAAGTTTGTTTGACATATTGAGATGTGTACATATTCATATATGTCATGTTTTTACCTGCCACAGATGCAGAGCAGATATGGATGTGCAAAAAAGGAACCAGTAAGTCTAGTGTGCTATGCACCTTGTTTTTGGTCATAGTTGATTCTTCTTTGAGGCCTGAAGATACTTTCCTGTTTATTTCATACTTTTTCACCTTGAATGCCTATTTTTAATATGAAAATTCCGAACCTTTTCACCTTGAATGCAATTTTTTAATATATAAACTAGATGAAAAGATTGGCACGACTGTTAAAGGGATGGAGTGCCCTTTTGTGATCCACTCAACTTTCCTGAAGTAAATTGGATTTTTTGTTAAATCCTGAGAAGGATAATGCTTTTCCTTTTTTTTTTTTTTGGCTAATGCATTCACTTGGTTGTTAATTCACGGAGAGATTTTCCTGACACACTTTTTTTTTTTTTTTTTTGGGTAGGCTTTTAAAAGGTCCATATCCGAGTTGACTCTGGAAAGAATGTCCAGTTTGTTTGGTTCCTTGCCAGTCCCTTCACCCAATGACACTAGAGGTACTGAGAGAATTTGTGGCATCCCTTTTAAATTGTTATTTTAAATTTTCTAGTTACTTTGTTATAAAGCTTGGTAATCTATGATTCTTAGTGGACATAGTTGTAAATTGTTAACATTTTAGTCAGTGATAGTAGTAATCATGTCATTGCAAAAGGTCAGAACTACATTTATAACTTCTTTAACCTTTCAATATGTGAATCAACTAATGTTTTCCAGTTCTTCACCTTTATCTGGGTACTGCTAGCTTGATTTACATGACCATTACTTCAATAAATCTTCTTGATTGGCAATATTCATGAAGGAACTTCACGTAGACAAATAAAAGGTAACGAAGCTTCCGATAATCCTCCAAGACTACGTAGGAATGCCTCTGCTGCAGCTGATATGAATAGCATTTATTCCTATTCTGGATCAACAACTTCAGGTTATGCTGGAATCTGTTTTTGTTTCTCTTTCTCTGCCTTTCTATTTTAGCTGTTTTCCCTAACTTTGATCATTATTACTGTATACGTAAATGCATTATTGTTGAAGTTACAGATCACCTTGTTATGTTAGTTTAAGGTCACCCTTCTTTTCAAAGATTGAATTTAGAATCTATATTTAATTGGCATATTGATTTTAGTTGATAAATGAAATTTCTTCTGTGTAACTGTTGCTAGTTCTTTTATCTGGAATGCTCCAAGAATTGTAAAATTAGTACCAAAAAGTAATTTAATTCACTGGAAGTTTTATTCTAAACATTATACTTCAGAGAATGGTTTTCTTAGTACATGCATATGTCAACTCCATTAAATATCATATCGCTAAATACTTTATGCTTTAAGACATATTTCCTCCATTCCTATTTATGTGTGAACTTCCACTAATTCACACAAATCAAGTGAGTTAAAATTAGTTAATGTTCTTGAAACTAATCTATATTTCCATAAATGTCCTTAATTAAATGCAATAAACTGTAACCCAATCCTACTCATCTTTCTCAATCCCTCTCTCCACCATAATTGCTCATCTATATTTTTGCCAAGGTCATCATTGGAGAAAAAAATTGATTGCTTCATAGATTTTGCAAAATGACTTATAAATAGGAATATGAAAAGTTTTTAGAAAGTGATTTATAGCTAGGAATGGGAGAGTTTCTTTTCATTGGTAATAAATTACATCAAATTTTCTCCATCTATATATGCTTAATGCATGATATTTCTGTTTTTTCAGGTCCCCAAAAGCGGCCAAGCAGTATATGCTTTGATGAAAAACTGTTTATGCATTCACTCTATAAGGTGATTTCATCTTAGAAAGTTTGCTATTTTAAGTAGAAATGCTGCAAGAAAGTAGCAATCTTGTACCCTTAATGTGTCTAAGGATAACTATTTCTCACTCTCCGAGAAAAAAAAAAAAGTTCTAACAAGCAGGATTTAATAATAATTGCAGGTCTTGGTTTCTGTCTCAGAAACCAGTCCTATCATCCTATATATCAGGAATGCTGAGAATCTTTTTCTCAACTCACACGCATTATACAGTTTGTTCCAAAGAATGCTAAAGAAAATTTCAGGGTCAGTGTTGATACTTGGTTCCAAGATATTAGATTCAGAAGATGATTGCAGAGAAGTTGATGAGAAGCTTACTGTGTTATTTCCTTACACCATTGAGATCAAACCGCCTGAAGATGAGGCCAACCTTGTCAGCTGGAAAGCCAAGCTGGAAGAGGACATGAAAATACTTCAGTTTCAAGATAGCAGAAACCACATTGCTGAAGTACTTGCTGAAAATGACATCGAATGTGATGACTTGAACAATATCTGTCATGCAGACACCATGCTCCTCAGTCAGTATACTGAAGAGATGGTGGTATCTGCAATATCTCACCATTTGATGAATAACAAGCATCCAGAATACCGAAATGGGAAATTAATCATATCAGCCAAGAGGTACATATCTCACCAGAATGTTTTTTGGGCAATTGATTATGAAAAGTGGTTTTTAATATTGGCATTGGATTTGGACAGTTTGTCCCATGGATTAAGTCTATTCCAGGAAGGGAAAACTAGTGGAACTGGTAATCTGAAGTTGGAGAATAATGCCCCTAAGAAGGTTCGTTTACAAAAAAACTCCAGTGAATGATGAAAGAATGCATATAATGCCAAATTGACAGACTTCATTCACTGATATGGTCTGAAATTGTAGGACACTGCTGGAGAAGGAATTGCTGGTGCAAGGAATGATGTACGTGATATCTTTGCACCTGAAAAGAAAAGTGCAATGGAAAAATGTATCCCTGTGACAAAAAAAGATGGCGACAGCACTACTGCTCCTGCTTCAGTGAAAGCTGTAAGATCAAAGTCTCAATAGTTAACCTCAAGTATAACACACGAGATGAATATTAAAAGGCAGTACAATGTTATTTGTTATTTTTGAAGCCCACTGACAAGAAACCATGTGAACACCATTTAATAATAAAAGAAAGATACAACGAACTCCCTTGATTTCCTGAGGCTCTCACTGAGGGTAACTTCATGAACTTTATTTTCCTCAGCACCGGATCTGTTCATCGAAAGTCAATCAGGCCTTATTAACATTCCTCTTGCTTGTGTATTTTCATCCCAAGTTAATATGACAATTGTGAATGTTAAGAGTACTTTTGATCGTTAGGTTAAGATAGCATCATGGTACATGAGTTAATCTTCATCTCACTCCAAGCACTGGAATTGCTATTTGATATTTAGTTACACTTACATGGATACCTTCCTTTTTTCAATTTCATGTAATATCAAGTTTTACACAGGTTTAATTGCATGCTTGCAGGAAGTTCCTGACAATGAGTTTGAGAAGCGAATAAGGCCTGAGGTTATCCCCGCAAATGAGATAGGGGTTACATTTGCAGACATTGGTGCACTAGATGAAATTAAGGAATCACTTCAAGAGATGGTCATGCTCCCCCTTCGTAGACCAGACCTCTTCAAAGGTGGTCTTCTTAAGCCATGTAGAGGCATATTGCTTTTCGGGCCTCCTGGTACTGGGAAAACTATGATGGCAAAGGCAATTGCAAATGAAGCTGGAGCAAGCTTCATCAATGTCTCAATGTCCACGATTACTTCCAAGTGGTTTGGGGAAGATGAGAAGAATGTCCGAGCTTTGTTCACACTTGCAGCAAAGGTTGCCCCTACGATAATCTTTGTTGATGAAGTTGATAGTATGCTTGGACAGAGAACAAGAAATGGAGAACATGAGGCCATGAGGAAGATTAAAAATGAGTTTATGACCCATTGGGATGGCCTATTGACAAAACCAGGCGAGCAGATTCTAGTACTTGCTGCAACCAACAGGCCATTTGACCTTGATGAAGCAATCATAAGACGGTTTGAGCGCAGGTAAGGCCACAATATCAGCATGATCATCTAAATCTTCTATTGCACTTGCATTACAATAGTTTTATTAGTGGAAAAAAATTATACATTTTTATTTTGATTATTGGTTATGCAAAGTTAGGTGCCCAAAAAGGGGAGGAAAGCAAAATAGCCTGCAAATGGGAGTTTTCATAAGATAAGGATAAAAAAGAAAACATGATTTTTCTGTCATAGACTTTTCCTTTCACATAATTCATGAACTCCCCCTACGAGGTAGTGGGATGAACTCCCATAATCATGCAGCAAACACTACTGGGTGACCTTATAGTGGCTAATGCCTGATAACGAGATATCTTAATTATATATATATATATATATATATTTTGGGATACATTGAGAGAATTTGAATTCTCGACTGCTACCCACATCCCATCCCACTCTTGCCTCATGAGCTAGCCATTACATATAGCCTTTGCTAGTATAGCACATTTAAGTCTTCCATATGAATTCTGTGCTCCTTTTGTCTTGCATCTAGCTAACCGAACAATAGTAACATCATCAACTGTACAGATTCAGAGAAACTTTTTTCTTTTAAAAAAAAAAAATCATTTGCAGTATCGTTGAACAATTTCCCTTTCATATACGGATTATTTTTTTATTGTGATTGATAATGCTTTTACCTTTTAATGTTGAGCAGAATCATGGTAGGTCTTCCAACTGCGGAGAGCAGGGAACAGATCTTGAAAACCCTCCTATCTAAAGAACAACATGAAAACATGGACTTCAAAGAGCTTGCAATCATGACAGAAGGATATAGTGGAAGTGATCTTAAGGTTTTCTCTTTCCTTTCTTCCTTTTGTTACCTGTTAATGTTCGTGATATAATAACTCAAGTAAGCAGTAGCATCTCCTGATATTAATTTCTTTGAAAACAGAACTTATGCATGACAGCTGCATATCGACCTGTTAGGGAGCTCATGCAGAAGGAAATTTTGAAGGAAAAGGTAAGTAACAACTTTCGCAAAACTAGCTTCAACACTGTTTTTATTTTAATTAGTGCAGAATTCTGGCATCAGAGCTGTAGAGATGGCTAATACCTACTTCATTTTATTCAGGAAAAGAAGAAAAGAGAGGCAGAAGCCAAAAGCTCAGAAGATGCTACAGACATTAGAGAAGGTGGAAAAGATGAAGTGATTACCCTGAGGCCTCTAAACATGGAAGACATGAAATATGCCAAGTCTCAGGTAGGCTTATTTGAACATTATTCACGCAAATGGCTATGCTATTGAGTGATTAATTTGAACGTCGGTTTTCCCATTGAACACATGTAGCATCTTTCCATATCGTCAAGGAATTAAAAAAATATGATTCCAGAGAATTGAAAGACAGATATCTGACATTCGACTACATATTAGGTAGATGATATTTAGTAGCTTGGTTTATCGGTAAGTAAAAAAATATGTGATTTGATTTCAAAATGTCTACCGAAAAAGTGGGTAATATGCCTCTGCTACACTATAAAGTACTAGCACCTTGCATGGAAAATAAGCTAGTACGTGCGTTGGTTTGTATTCATGTTTTTGTAATACTCACTTTCCATGCGAGATATTTGTGCTTTATGGTGAAGCAGAACTGTATTGCCAACTTGTGCAGAAAATATTCTGGATGTGTGATGTGAATAATCAAAGGTTCATCTTTCAATTTTTGTCTATTGATTTTAATTATCCCTAGAGAGCACAAGGTTCATAAACCTCATATTCAGGGACCGATACTTTAGATGTGGGAACTGAACTTACGCTATTGAGTCATAATATTATACTAAATTATTAAGGTAATTTGAAAGTAATTACAGCAGAAGATATACTTGACTCTTTCCTTAATCACTTGACAATGTCACAAACATGAAAGATCGAAAAACATGTATTTATGCAAGAACAATGACTTCAAATAGAAATTACGAGTGTATACTTTTTATGCAGATTGCTGCAAGTTTTGCTGTTGAAGGATCAATAATGGGTGAGCTGAAGCAGTGGAACGATTTGTATGGAGAAGGAGGTTCAAGGAAGAAACAGCAGCTTTCGTACTTCCTCTAGTTGTAGCAAAAGCTGATAACATTATGAACTTGTTAGCTTTCTAAGAGATAGGAAGAACAGGACAAGCAGCCCTTCATCTCAGAAAGGCTTAAATCCAGGAAGATATATACTCGAAGGGATGTTGTGTAGTTTTGAATTATGTACAAAGCAATGGCTACCGGAACTGGGGAATTTGTGTATATTTATGTATTGTGATTAGTGTACATGTCAACTTGAACTCTAGAAATTGATATTTGTCATTGGAGGTTCTACAAGATGCATTGACTATTTCATGGGACTAATGAAAGTAGGAACTTTTCCATCAGATTTGAGTGTGATGTAATTTTATGTGAACAGAATCCTCAAACATTGGCTTGGTAGATGCACTGCTTGTAGACATTGCCTCAAATTATTTGAAGTGTCTTGAGAATACATGCATTTCAATTTCCAAGAAAACCAATCTCTCTTTTAAAAAAGAAGAAACAAGCGGCAAAGGCCATTTGACTGAAATGTAATTCCTTTGAAGCAGCATAATAAGTGTTAAAAAAAAAAAGGACAAGGAAAAGAGGCTAATGTAACTTAAGTCCAATAATTGAGGTAAAGAAAATTCCAAAAACATGGTTAATAAGGTAATGTCAAGGGTTAGTTGTCCAATGATAACACCACCTTATTTTCTTGGAAGAAATCCTGGGTTCAAACCCAACGTCAACAGGCATAGGTGGATGTCTCTCTTTCTTAGAGAAAAGGGCTAGGGGGTAAAATTTTAATTAATAATTTATCAAAAAGAATGTGTATATAATTGACAAAGCAAGAACCATGCTCAATATTAATATCCATATTAATCAATGGATATAAGAATGTCGATATTCAAGTCATGAGCTTAATTTGGAGACTAGTCTCACAAATACCACACCCGCGAATTTGCTGACAAACCTAAGAGGGATATGAGGATAAGCTTAACAAGAACATACGATCATGAAGAGGAGAAAGTGTGAGTCGAAGTTGCGTGGATCAATTTTTTAGCAGCGACAGAATTCAAGCCATGTTGTTTGCAGTAAGCGTCACTGGTTGGGAACTAGGAAAATGTTCCCGGACATCGTGCGCTCACACCAAACGACAAGAGGAAGGCCCTTTTCTTGGATCTCACATGTTCATGTCTCTTTTAATCTCCAGAGATGCTCCTCTTGAAGCTCTTCCCGAAGGTCAAAGTATTGCATTCAATGCAGCAATCCACCTTCATCCTCCCTTCAAAACTCCTCTGCTTTCAACTCAGCCGACAGTCTGACACTGACGGGATGGATCCACATCATAGTGGGCCACGGCCACACAGATTTTTTCATTTAGAAAGAAAATTAAGGAGTATGAGCCCAAACTGAAAATAAAATGTTCGGCCTAGCCCTTTTGTTTTCGGGAAACGCACCGTTTTCTCTTCTCCTGCCCCTGGTCGTCGCTCTGCTTCTCCTCCTTCGAGAGGCTTGTCGTTGTCCATCTCGTTCTTCGCTTCCTTCGAGCTTCGTGGCAGCACGAACCCCTCTGAGCTTCTTCTCCGTGAATCATCTTCGTTCAAGCTTCTTGGAGGGTAAGTATCGCGTCACTATTCTTCAGTTTTTTGTTTTCCTGTGCGATTTATATAGAATGCAATATCGCCGACTGTTATTAACTGTTAGCTACAGAACGAAAGATTAAATATTTGGATGGATGATTTTGGGTAGCGCAGAATTATGTGAGCGAAGTAGGGGGGTCGGAAATCTATGAAGACGAAAACAGAAGGTGATGCTGACAAGACATGAATAAGAGAAGCGCAGAGATCGATGCTGACGTGGTATTTCCTGCATTATGATCAATCATCTTTTGCTGTTAACACACACATGCGGGGATGGGGATCCTATCCTACGTCGTCATCGTCTTGTTCCAGTTCAAGCGGCATCATAGAGGACTGTTGTACTGTACATATCATGAACAAACAAGTGCGCTCCTGTTAATGACTTCTAGTTAAGATCGAGCATTTGTCAACAAACAAAATTTCATTGGCCCTAAAAAACGGAAGAAAATTCACTTTTATATAACCAGCTCGAATTCGAATTTCTTCAGACTCTGTCAACTGGGAAGATAAGAAACAAAATCGGATGAAATTTCCATGAGGGACAAGACCTAGAATATCTTATCTAATTAATTAAAAAAACAAACAAAAGGAATTGACCCACTTTAATTAGCAATAACCCAATAAGATACCAAAAAAATAGAGTATCCGCCTCTTAATCCTTCTTCGATGGTCCTGCAAGAATGGGTATCTGGCTCAAAACCTTCTTATCAAAAACTGCATATTGCTTCTTCATCTCAGCTATCACAATCTCGCCATACAGATCAACCAGCTCTTCATTTTTTTCATACAGCATTGGCACCGTGAACATGAACACTGTGCCTGCGTCACACCAAAGTTTCCGTTAAGATTATACATATAAATATTAGAATCACCATCATCAATATATGTATATTACAAGCTAAGTTGTGGATAATGCAGTCCCTTTTTACGTCAATTTTAATTCAATTTTTCCCCCTGCAATTATTACAAGGAACCTCTTCTAACTGGTATTTAAGAAATAAGAGACGGAATATATTCTCACAAAGATAAAACAAGGTAAGGAAACTGAACGAGCTCCCAATAACCGAGAGAAACCATAATGCAACAATAACCTGGTAATGGGACAGAAAACACCTTAGTTAGTCCAAATGGTTGTCTTAAGTACAATGACTACAGATTTTCATACAGAATTTGAGATGTTTTAGGACACTTGAAAGATTAAGAGAGCAAAACGAAAGTATGGTTAACCTTCAGGTGATTAGAGTCCTAACCGATTCGCACTTACAAGTTACAACTAAAGCCTCTGAGCTGGGAATCCTTATTCTGCCAACCAATTAGCAACAAGCATTTCAGGAGAAGAGTAGTGAACTTACGATAACAAACTTCTTCAAATCTTTCCCAGCTGTAATATCTCTCAAAAGATTACGGAAAGCCTCCAAGAATCCATTGATTTCGTTTCTAACAGTAGAAACAACCTCAAGAACGCAGTCTCTTGGAATTGTAACTTCTGGGATGTGAGGTGCAGACCTGGTTAAGAATTAAATGTCAAGAACACATGAAATGTTTTCATGCAATACAAAAAGTGTATCATCCTCAGGATAAAAACAGTAACTTTTAATCGCTTATGGTCATATTTTTCAAAGATTATATATAGACAAATCTATTTTGAATAACTAATAATATAATACTACTACAACTACAATAACAAACCTTATCCCATTAAGCTGAGTCGGTTACACGAATTGTATGATATCATTGTACTCTATTATCAATCAAACTCTTAAGAATATTGTTAATTAAGAGGTTTCATTCATAATATTCCTAAATTATAAAAATTAAAATGGAAAGCTTATCGGCAAATGCATTCAAAGTTACTTTAGTCTAGTCCTAAGAACATGGGTAAATATGGCTTACTTGTGGATATACATGGATGCCTTGGTCCACAAGAAAAAGAGAATTATTACGAGAATCAATGCATGGCAAGCCAGAGAGATGAAATGGTATCCCAGTACTTCAAAAAAAAACCATAGCGCAGTAGCTGCAGCCAACACCCTTCTTGACACATCTTTTTTCCTCCACAGCACAACTTCAGCGGCTGCAAGGGAAGATTAATCTTGTAATTAAGACAACAAGACTTTTATCATCCAGAAACCAACGAAGTACGTGACAAAACTATGTGATTCATACTTAAAAAACTAACCCAAAACATAACAGTATATAAATCCTAATGAACATCATGGATAATTTAGGAACAGAGCCTTACGTTGTCTGTCCAACCCGACCCAACCCTTCATATTTGGCTGTATGGTGATGTTTATGTTTGCATGTGTCTCTTAGCTATGAAATGATGACGAAATATATCAGAACAATATAAGCATTATATTCCTTGTAATTTCATTTGAATCACATCATTCAAATTATCTGGAACATTGCCTTAATTAATCAACTACTATCCAAATCTGGAACAACTTATCTAATGCGATCGTAGTGGTGAAATTGCTTTAAAAGTTAAAAGGAACAATCACATATTAATAAATAATAATATCACTTGGCATGATCTGATAAGAAGCCACTGGGAAAGCGAAGGAAATTATACAGAGCCAAATAATTCGTTTAATTAATGACAAAAAAGTAAAGAAGAAAGGATGGATGAGCTGTTCCAGTTCGATGCGTGGTGCTATGATCTCAAACTGTAGATATGAAATTGTGAAGACCATCAAATAAAAACAAAATTTCTGACTAACTGTCAAATGCGACTATATTTAACGACGGAACACTGTATGTTCTATAGATCATGAACAACACGTATTATAAGATTATTCCTCGCCTAGATTTTCGTCTCAACCAAGCAGACCGCGTGAACGATAAATCAATAACGCATCATTGTTCGAGAATCGCAAAAAGCAAATGCAGAGAGATTAGGAAAGACAAAGCGTATAGAGAAACAGGAACTACCTTTTCCTCCGCCCAAGACCATGCAGAGAGGCCTCTCGCGACCGAAGAGTCTACGACCACTGGTTTTAGAGGAGCGATGATCAGCGGCTTCGAACGCATCGGAATCCTCAGAAGATGAATTAGAGTCGTCGGTATCACGATGAACCTTCTTCTCCGACTTCTCTTCATGCTCCGCCATGCTTCTCCCTGCGTTGAGAACAAGATACGATGAAATGGGAAAACGAGGTGTAATTAGTTGATATTCTTGATTAAAGTTCTTCACACACACACACACACACACACACACACATATTGATGATGTAATTTTTGAATGTAAAAAAAATTCCAATTATGAAAATAACATCATAGTCAGGCAGCTGGCCAAAAAAAAAATGATAATCAGGAAAAACTTGGATAATTATTTTATAGAAAAAGAAACATAAAAATAAGGGTTAATGTTCCATTTTGCCCTTATATTTATTTTTTAAAAATGTTGACCACCCTATAAGTTTAAGTGAGGCAATTTTACCTTTAAACTATTTTTTAAAGGAGCAAAAACTCCCTTTCATTAATTAACCGTTAATTTTTTCATTTTTTACTGACGTGACATGTAAGTGAGGCCATGCACAATGACATGTAAGACGTAGCATGTCATTTAATGTTAATTTATCTCTAAACTCTTTTTTTAAATGTTTTAAGCACCCTAAGTTCTTTTTTTCAAAGCATTGATATCCTGAAGTCTTGTTAAAATAAAATTTAATAATTATTGTTCAAATATTAAATATTTTAATATTTAATAATTTAAATATTATTATTTAAAATATTACACCACCCAATTTAATATTTTAATATTATTTTTGCTAACATTTTATAAATTTATAGATGATTTTTTATTTTTTATATATCGATATATAGTAATAAAATATTAAATTGGGTGCTATAATGTTTTAAATAATAATATTTAATTTATTAAATATTAAAATACTTAATATTTTAATAATATCAAGTCAATTTTATTTTAATAAAACTTCATGATGCCCAGCGCTCCTAAAAAAAGACTTTAAGGTATTTAACACTATTGAAAAAAGAGTTCAATGGCAAACTAGTACTAAAAGACATGGTTAAAATCTAACTTGTCACTGTGTGTGGGCCCCATGGACATACACATCAACATATAATGACAAAGTTAACGGTTCATTAACGGAGAGGTCTTTTGCTTCTCAAAAAAATAGCTCAGGAATAAAATTGTCTCACTTAAGAGTATAAAGTGCCTAGCACTCCTGAAAAATAAGTATTAAAGCAAAATTAAACCTTAACCCTATAAATAAAATAATGGCAAGGAAAAATTTTTGGACAACAAATGTTAAAAAAATAATGACAAAAAAATTCAAAATACTTTACATTAAATGTGTTATTTAGTTTTATATAGATAATTGTATTTGGATCATCTTTACATTCTCTCTCAATATCTCTCTCCTCCACTAGTTTATTGATGGATAAATGTACTTTTTTGCCTATAAAGTATTCTCTAGTAAGCACTTAATATCCTAAAATATTTGTTAGATCATTTTTGTCTCTAAATTAATTAAAATGTAACATTCTTCACCTTGATATTAAGTAAGTACAAACATTCATAAGTACACACCACATTAAGTTATTTTATTAATCTCATTTATTTAGTTAATTAGGGGTTAAGTTTCGAGATGTTACATCGTGTATGGAGATGGTGAAGATTGACCAAGTAGAGGTGGGGATTTCGATTGTGGTGGAGCAAAGGTGACTTTAAAGGAGATGATGGTGACGGTGATGGTGATGGTTTAGGGATAATGATGGAGGTGGGCTTTGGTTTAGGAGACAATGGAGGTGGCAAAGAATGTGGGGAAGGGATTTTCGATCGATTTGGTTTAGAGTGATATACCACTATAATTTGATTGCTGATTCTGTCTTAATGAATTGTTTTATAATGAATTCGATTTTGAAATTTTTTTTGAGAATGCTTAGGTCTGATCCAATGATTAATCTTGACATTTAGGTCCCATATATCTCTTTCTCCGTTTGCAATCTCTTTGATCGCCCCCTTCCTCCTTCTCTGTCGTGGTTGATCATTTGGCCTTCCGCACGTCTTCTCCTCCAAGTGAAGCTCACTGAGTTTTTTCTTTCATGGTCACCATCCCCCCTCCCCCCCAGTTCCTAATATATTTTAATTACTTTAAGAATAAAAATATTCCAACAAACCCACTTCAAGAGCAAAAACATACCTCTATCCTTTATTAATTTTGGTTATGCGTTCTCTCTTCATTTCTATTTGTAAGAAAAAAAGTATTATATAATTTAAAAAAATTAATTAGCTATATTAATTGTGTTTGAAAATAAAAAAATTAAATTATAATACCTTTTATTAATTGTATTAATTAAGCCTTCATTAATTATTTATTATAACTATGAATGATAAAATTATGAGGAATAATTTAAGAAGTTTGCAATGAATGCCTATTGAAAAATGTTACTTTGCTTGTATAAAAAAAAAAAGTAATAGCTTTTTTTATAAATGAAAGTGGAGGGAGTATAGTAAAAAATTAGTGCCTTCCACCAAAAGAATCAAAGCGGTGTCCACTTCCTCTGGCGCCACCATCTGGTTCAGGTTTTCATTTATGTCTTTTTGTTTTGTTTTTCTTTTATGGACTGCAGTGTAAACTGAAGTTGAAGATAAAGAGTTAATCCAAGTGTGTTTAGGGTGCACACGAAACAACCCTTAGGTTTGATGGAGAAGGCCGAGAAAGAGATGTTGATTTTATAATATATCACCGCGCACACGCACACGCACATACTCGACTTCATGTATAGTAGCGGCAGAGCAAGTTTCAGGTCCGCCATGATATTTCCATGCATGTAACGTTTGTCATTGTGAATATTAGAAATTACTGTATATGTTCTATAGAGGGATCCTGATCTGTTCTCGTTTTCTAATTCGGAAACGAGTTCCAGTGAGTTGATTATACCTTCTTTTGGGGAAGTTGGACTAGTTTCTTCATCCAAATTTGAGTTAGCTTAGCTTCCAGTGCAAGAGAATAATAAACCATATATAATTGTCGTTTGCTTGAGACATTAGAATGAAACAATCCATGAAGAATCTGATCAGGTCGTGGAAGCCACATCATACTTTTGTGATTCTTTTGTATTATGTTGTTGTTGTTCATTATTTTTCTATGCAGAAAGATCCTGTTATGATCAACCGTCGATGGTGGCTGCTAATGATCCCTGTCACCAATTACGTTATCAAGTCAATGGTGCTGAGATCTTTCTTCGGATTTTCAATATTTTTCTTTTAATCTAAGGCCATGGTCCATTATTCGTCGCTAATAATAAAAAATACTGTCATCTTTCCAAAAAATATGTATAATTATCAAAATACATATTTTTTGGATATTCAATTAAGATATTATTTGTTCGAATAAACGTCACAAAAAATTTAAAATAAAATGACCTTAATTAAACAACAACAACAACCACCTTTTAAAAGTCTTTCTCTGTGTACTCTATATTTTGAAGTTTTATGTTTCAATAATATAAACTATTAATTTCTAAATTCAGTGTTTCCATCATGTGTCATACTGATTGAAAAGACTAAAAATTCAACACTTATCATAGCTCGAGCAACCAAGTTTACAGGAATTAAATCTCAGAGTTATTTGTACACCTGAACTTTTAATCTCCCAATCTTGAAACAATGAGATGAAGGCCCCATATATAAGCCATTGGTTATATGACTTACAAAATAAATCGTCAATTTTGTCCCCAGCTACACTGAACTGGGTTAACGTTTCCATGGATAGCACGTTGTAGTGATTTCATTATCATGATGATAAAGAACAGCAAGGTATCTTTATTTTTCTGGCAAGACTGATCAGTTTCCAAGTGAGAGATAGGTCAGGAAGACTACTATTTTGTCTTAGTTAATCAAAACCAACCTGTTGAAAGGTAAGCATCGAGCAGCAGAGAGCTAAATTTGAACGTGTTTAGGGTTTAACTTGTACGTCCTATGAATGAAGAGATTGATCATAAGCCATGATGAGTTTCCTTTTTCACTACTGATGAGGAGAGAGAGGAGAATCTTACGAAACAAACAATTCACCAAGATCATCAGGACCATGTGTATTCGAGTTTTTGAGACTTGCATGCACAAGTCTAAGGCACAAGGTACCATGCATATATATTCTCTTTTCAAGTACGCAAACGATGCAGCTTTTGATATATTATTTACAGGCTCACTCTGTTCGATCAGGACCATGCATGTGTACAAGTGCACATGATTCTCTCTTCTTTCACTTTCAATTTTCTAGGAGAGTACCCTCTTTCTTGTCCATTCATGCAAATTAATTAAAACAACGTTTTGGTCCCAGCCCATCCCATATAGTTCGTTTTTGGTATTATGCATCTTGTTCTATTATAAAGTTTTCTGTCTACTTTCTCCTTTTTGCCTTTTGGAAAAGAAAGCAAGGATATGTACATTTGCGTTCCGGTTAATTTGTTGTTAATTATGATTAAAATTAATCATCAAAGATGTATATACGCCTCACATTGGTCTGATGTATTCATAAAAATTAATTTTTTTTAATATGGAAAAGACAATTTTAAAAGTATAAGAGCAACTCTTTTTGAATAGAGGGAGTTAATTATGCGATAAAAAATAAGTTTATTGTGAGGCCAACCAAAAAATATATATATAATATAATTTTGAAAAAACAGATAGTTAATTAGTTATGCTTATATATTTATTAGTAAAAAAGATATATAATTCTAAGATACAATAAACATTATATATTTCTTTCCAAAAAAGATTCCGTTTTATCGTACAACAAAAAAACCTTAAAAAATTAGTGGATGTTCATGGGTATCGTTGACTAAATTGCCTTAATTAATGGATTAATGATATAATGTTGTACTCAATCAACGAAACCAAGGGAAGGTGTATACTTTCGTAAAGACGAAATTTTTGAGGGGACGTCTTCATTGGAGCATAATTTAAGGTCCTGAGCTAGGTAGGTTAATTCTTAATCAGAAAGTTTTCCATGATTTAAAACTCCTTCATTTCTGGGATAATCCAAATATTATTGAAGCTGATTGATTAACTAACAATTCTTCTTTTGGTTGCATGTTGCAATATTCTTCGTCTCTTGAATTCCTTTTTTGTTTTTTTCGATTCTGACCTTTGAGAAAGCATTTTGTGAACAAACTTTAAAAAAAGAATGGGGATGGAAGAGTGCAAGACCCAGCAAAGCATAGCCACATTTACAAGTCAAAGCTTTTTTTGTAGCCAAAAAGACTCTTGACTCTTTCGCATCACTCTATGCAATTAAAGCACCCCCAAACCCTGGTCTCCACCTAGCTAATTCTTTTATGCAAGGACATGAGTGTAATTTTGCATCACATTCGCAAGCAGCATGATCTTTTCTTGATAATAATGTGATTGTAATTAATCAACGTAAACTTTCAACATTTCAATCCTCTTCTTTCCAACATTAATTAGTATTAAAAAAAAGGATAAGAGTTGTATACTTAACCTTATTTATTTAATATATTTATATCTAATCAAATTATAATAACAATAAATACTCTATAAACGATCTACATGTTTTAATTTAATAAAAAACAAGCAATTAAATATATAAAATTAAGTATATAAATTATTTTCTTGAAGAAAGAAATAATATGTATTATTAGGAGGGAAGATGTGAACAAGTGTAAAATAGGTGTATGCTAAAAGAATATGATGTGTTTTTTAAAAATAGATTGAGGTAAATGATTTAATAAATGAAAGGAGATGAAAATTGGTAGAGGTGACGTTCACATAAGAGTGGGGGACCCTAAAAGATGAAGAAGAAGAAAGGCATGGTCCAAACACAGTGCTTTTGTTTGTGAGAAAGAACTGTAAAGAAAAGAAATAAAGGCCAAAGCACTGTGTGACCTCTTCTCCTTTTTTTTTATTTTTCTGCTTTTCCCTTTTCTTTTTCGGAAGCTTCCCATCACCATCCCTCTATCTTCTCTAGAGTATCAACTTACCTATTTTTTATATACAAAATTCAACTATATTTCTAAAAGCAACACCCAAATAAGAATTTATTTACAAGCTTCTTTTTTTTTTTGGGTGGGTTCAGATGCCTCTGTAAATAGACGAGCATCAGGAAAGAAACTAAGTGAGGATGGTAATCATATACATAATATATGTTGTATTAATTAAACTAAATTCTAAATTTTCATAGCTGAAAATAAATAAAAAATGAAATGGCATATCAAGCTAAATTACAACCACATAGCGGGGATAACATGTGTAACATGAAACTCAGCTGATTTATCAAAAGAATTTTTTTTTTTCAAATTTTCAGGTTTCAACAGTGAAGCCACTTGTGACAGCGTGTGCCCCTAACCCTTTTGTTCTCAACGCTGTCTGTATCCCTTTCCTCTCAGATGCTCTCCCCCCCCCCCCCCCTTTTCCTTTTTCAGATTTTCTGTGAAATTATGAGAATATATCTTTACCCTTTTAAAATGAAAATATTTAAAGAATATATTCGACTTATCGCCAGTCGTCACCGTTACGGAATTTTAAGCCACTTAAAAATCCGTTGCATAAAAAAACAGAAACAAAAAGAGAAAGAAAAGTGTCCAAAATAATAACAAAAAGCACACATTTCTCTCTCTCCCTTTTCCTTCATTTCATTCCCCTCCTCACTATAAAAGCCCCCACCAACTCTTCACTTTCTAAAACCCCTCAGACTCTTCTTCTTCTTCTTCTTCTTCCTCACTCTGTTACGTCCTCCATGGATGTTCTCAATTTTCTCAAATTCTGGAGGCGTGCGGCTATGGCTGCTACCTCCAACTCTGACCCTCGTTTAGATGTGGAACCAGATCACGGGTCTGAAGAAGATGACTCCTTCTTTGATTTGGAGTTTACCGTTTGCACCCATGAAAACAGCGTCAGCAAAGTCAACCTTCACCCACAAGACAATATTGATGGAGGAAAAGAGTTTGAATCCGGTAATGATCAAGTTTCGAGGAAACTGATTTCTCTGTCGGCTAACGAGTCCATTTCCAAGAGAAAGATCCTCCCCATTGAGCCCCTTTCTAAGCCTCAATCTCCCATTGCTCTCTTCAAATCTGCTCCCAGCTTCAGGATCCTCATGTTCAGGAAGAACAAGGAAATGTCTGCCCCCAAAACAGACGAAATGGAGGATTCCCCGTTATCTCCTTCGCTCAGCAGAAGTGCTAGTACCTCGAGGAGCCATGGGAGCAGATCGGAGAGGTTCTCGAAGGAGGTGTTGCAGAAGTATCTCAGGCTGATAAAGCCTCTGTATGTTAAGATTTCGGGAAGGAACGGCGAGAAAGTGAAGCTCTCGGGGGATGTATCCTCTGCTTCAGCTGCGTCGTCTCCTTTGGTACCCCCTGTTTCTTTGAAAAGAGAGAAACAGGGTAATATTCCGGCGGGGATTCGTGGTGCGTGTAAGCATCTGGGGAAGAGCAAATCGGCGTCCATGATCACCGGGATCGGGTCTCCGGCGAGAAGGAGCGACGATACGCTGCAACTGCAATACGATGGGATTCAAAGCGCCATTCTTCACTGCAAGAGATCGTTCAACTCCAGAGGTGAAAATCTTCAAACTTGTTTGAACTTCTGAATTAGAGTCGCTTCTGTCTCCAAAGCTTAAAATCAATTATTATCAATCTTATCTGAAACTACATTATCTTTGTTGTCAGAATATGCTTCCACTATCACCCAGTCTGAAGATAAATCAACTTGCTCGAAGAGGAACGAGACAAGCATCTAATGGTCTGATTTTCTGGGGAAAATTCAGGAGTATAAGAGAAAATCTGGGAACGTGATTTTTGTTTTGCAAAGAAAAGCAATGAGATAAAATAGGGTATGTTGATGTTGCTTAGGGATGATGATTAGTATTATAGGGTATCCTGTTGGTCAGTGTAAATTGATTGATGCGTCACATATGAAGACTCGCTTCAGATTCTTGATCTTCAGTGTATCTCTGTTTTTCATATTTTCTTTTTCTCTGCAAAATGCTTCTTTTTTCAGTATTTGATTAGATAGCAAGCGTAAGACCATACACATTGCTTGTCCCTGATTTATTGATTTGACTGCAAAACAGAGGATTCTCAGAGCTTCAAGTAATTCAAATTTGCACGTCCCAAAAAAAAAAAAACTTTTCCAGGAAAATTTGCTTTTTGGTGGATGTGATTTGAAGAAGGAAGAGGCCAAAAGGCTTAGTTCAATTCTTCGGAGGAAAAAAGGGAAGTTGTTTTCGCCTTTTTATCCTACTTTTATAACGACTCAAGCAAAACGTGAAAAAATAAGTTCAAAGATTTTGTTAACAAGAAATATGATTTTTTTTCCTAAAAAAACTATCGAAGTTATACAAAATTGAATAATATTAATTTATAAAGCCAAATTATAGTAATCCACAAATTATTGAGATGTGTAAGGGTATTTTATCAATATACGGTAAAGAATAAAAGAAATGATCAGAACGTGGAAATACAAATACTACACCAAAAAATTTTCAAGTTGAGAATGACTTTATAGTAAAAAATCATTTTTTATTTAATAGTAAGATTTTAATTTTTTTTAGTGATACTATATGTTATTCATTGTCTACTATTAGAATATTTATTTTTTTTTGCTTTACTTTTCCCACATCATTCATTAAAGCACCAAATAAATAATTATTTATTATTATTAATGTTCCTTATAAGTTTGATAAAACATTTAAATATATATAATGATATTAAAAACATACCCACTAATGGATTCATCATATTAATAGTAATACTGAATGTGTGATAATTTTTTCACATTTTTTTACTAATACCATCTTTTTTTCTTTTATAAAAAAGTGTTATAATCTCATGCTTTATTGTTTATTTAGGCTGACATAGCAAATGAATTATACAAGCTCGTTCAGAATACTCTAATTGCATTGATTATCAAGATAGGGTTGCTCAAGGCCGATGCACCATCCTACTTGCAACAAGATAACAATGATTTAACAAGGACCCTTAGTCTGCTCCTGATCCATCAAAAGTTGAGTTGCCTCATCCACAAATTTTTTAAGATAGATTGAGCAAGTGATGTGGTAACTACTTGTTTACTCAATCACCAATTGAAAATAAAAATGTAAGGAAACAAGAGCCTTAAAATTTTAGTCAATCTTATTATATGCCAACCTCATCATTATAATTACCCCATTTGTCTTTCCCCATCTTACTCAATTCGAGTCTTATTACATGGTACCCTCATCATCGTTCCTTTTCAACTCACTTGCTTGTACTCAATGCAACCTTTCCCATTACATGCGTTGGCCTCTAAACAACCCTATTTTAATAATTAATGCAATGAGAGCATTCTAAATGAAAATTAATCATTAAACTATAAAAACTCTTCTGTTATGTCAGCCTAAAATAAATAATAAGATATTATATTATAACACCTTTTTATAAAAGAAAAAGGATAGTGTTAGTAAAAGAAGGTGAAAAACTTAATACCAAGTATCATTACTGATATGATGGATTTATTTACATGTATTCAGATGTTCTATCAAACTCATCGAGTGTCAGAAAAACATTAACAATAATAAGTGATCATTTATCTCATTTTTAAATGAATCATGCAGAAAAAACAAAGCAAAAACGGAAAACAAATATTCTTACAATTAATAATAAACGATTTTACTTTTTATTAAATAAAAAATAATTTTTAACTATAAAATCGTTCATGCTTTGAACGAGTTACAGTCATAGAGTTGCTCTTGGCGTGGTATTTGAATAAATATTTTTCATGCTATAGCATTTGGATAATTTTTTTATTGTTTATTGTAATTGAAAAAAAAAAACCATATGTAATGTGGGTGAAATTTAGAATCCGGAATTAAAAGAGAAGTCGGTGTTGGAAGTTGCTGCTGCTGAACTGTGGTGCATTTAATGATGAAATTGGATTTGCATATAAAATATTGAGATGAAAATGGATATATATATATTTTTGTTTTTGGCCGAGCAAAGGATAAAAACTTGAAAGCAAGCCAGCAAGGGATCTTATTCTGATCTCCCATTCATGGCGTGGCAGTCGGCAGAGATTGCCCTCGGCATTTGAGTACTTTTCCTCACTAACGGATTTAATTTATAAATATTTTCTGTTTTAATTTATAATATTTTTTTTCCACATGTTAAGACTTATTAATCAACGTGTTTATTTCAAAATGCCCATAAATAGAAGGGGAAAAAAAATTACTTGACCCTTATTATTTCGGTTCATTTTTTTGCACTGGTTTGTACAAATTAGTTGAAAATATTTTATAATGCTACCAAATAGAGGGAATATTACAATTTTTGGTCCAAAAGACTGGTAAGTTGCATCTTTATGGAATATTCATGGATATTGTTAACTTTTTTCCCCAAAATTTCTCATGAAAGTATTTTGAAGGATTCTTTTTATATAGCAAGGCTTTGCGATTGTGAAGTTTCAAATTTCACCCAAGAGAAAGATTATAAATTCCTCCACGTATAGTGATAAGGTGGCGTACGTCTAATATTTACATCCAAATTGATGATTATATTAAAGCAACTGATTTATTTGTTATTTTCCAAAACTAAAAGTGCATGCATGATCTTCAGGTAATAAATAAAGAGCTCAGCGCTCAAGGCTAATAAATGATGGTGAACCTAAAGTATATATGAAGTATGAATATCAAAATGGGAGTGAATTATCATGTTTCTTTTTATACAACCATCTAATATCCTATATGAGTGAATCAGATTGGAGGGTGTGTGTGTGTGTGTGTGTGTATATATATATATATTGTTGAGACAAATGAAGAGTGAGTGAAAAATAATAATGAAATGACGGTGTGTGAATGGGAAACAGAATGAAATTTTTAAAATAAGAACACGTACGAGAGAGACAGGATGGTGGTTGGATGATTTGGAGAGTTTGAATTTTGAAAACTGGAGAGCAGGTGAGAAAAGGACCACGCGGCTTAATTTTGTCTGAGAGTAGAGAGAATTCAAAGACCAATTGGACACAAAATATGCAAATTCCAACCTCTTCATCATACTAATACACACCAGGCCATCAACAAACTTGCTCTGAAATCACGTCCTGGGTTTTTCCCATTTTCATTTAAACCTTGTACGATATATACATTGCCATAGATTTGTGTCCATTCTCTTTGACTGCAAAGTTTACTTCACCACGTGAAACTATATTGCAGTATATAGTATAGGATCGATTGACAATTTAGGCCCTAAATTATATATACAAGAGCATATAGGGTACTGAACTTGTTTTTGGTACAATTTTATCCTTCATCTTTTGAAAAATTTTCTTAATCATTTTTTATAACTTTTGATATCATTTTTTAATCAATTTATAGTTGAAGTTAATTTTTGTTAACAATAAAAATAATATTGTATCATTTTTAAAAATTAATTTTTAGATCTTTGTCTGTAATTTTTATTAGGTCTTTTTGTATAATTTTCTTGGTCAGTAGAATGACAGGTAAATTTAATAAAATGTCATATTTTTACACACACACATATATATATATATATATATAAATGAACTAGTAGAGTATTCCCACCCATTCTTATTATAAGCCAATTTATAACTAACTTAACATGAACCAAGAAACATTAGTTACATAATTAAAATTATCTAAAAATTACTTTGACTTCCATTCTTATCCCTAATATATATAGTACCGTTAATTTTAAAAATAAATATTTTTTATCTCCTAATTGAAAATTGAGAAAAATTGTGCTTGGAATGAAACGATAATAAATTTTTGTTTTATTTGGTGAAGAATTTACATCTGCTTTGTTTGGAGCATGCATGTGAAACTTAGAGGAAGAAGTGTCCACGGGCAATGAGGAAGAATCAAATACCAGCTAATCAATTTTCAGCCTTCAAGGACCCACCATGGCATCTTCTGATTTCCAATAAGTCAACTATTTGCTTAAATATTAAGTAAACGGTCAATGTCAGAGGCATTTTCACAGATTAATCATTCTTGCACCAAGTGAAATAACATGATGAGTATCCGTGTATTTTTTTCATTTCAAAAAATTAATTGCTCTTACCCGATAATTTTGTAGATACTTTTATCTTTTTATTTAAAAAAAATATTGAAGGGGTAATAATGGAGAAAGTGATTTATTGAATAACTCAAATACCCTAATAAATGCGCCTACGACTAGCACACTAATTAGTCCAAGTTAAAAAAAAAAAAAACCACTCTACAAAACAATTCAATAAATCGTTAAATAATTTTGAAAGATAAATTACTCTAAAAGTAAAATAAATTATTATTAAGTGTTGAAACAATGTAAAAATTGTAAAAGACTAAACTAATAATGTCAAGTAAAAGAATAGAATGTATATATCATATTGTTATATTCTTTTTAATCTTATTTATAAGTTATTTTTAACATGTTTTATTGAAATTAAAAAATTTTAAATTTTATTAACATGTCACGTGTACTCTTAATAAATATTCTTAAATTTTATTGCTAGTATTTTTATTTAAAGCATTTAATTAAGGAAAAAAAATGTAAGAAAAGCATTGAAAATTGATAAATTCTTTATAAATAGGATCAATTTTTTTTTTCTGTCTTATAAATAGAATTAGAGGAATAATTATTATGCTAACACTTGTGTTAAACAGAAGGAATATGCAAGGCGATCGAGTAAATATGTAGTCTTGATTATAAAATAAATTTCACATAATTTGAGAAACAAACGCAGAAAGCGAGGTTCTTTGTACTAGTAATATAATTAAGAGTCCCGAAACAAGCTTGTGGTTCTGTGTGTGTGTGGCGTGTGTTTTCTCAAAATTTGCGGAGGCAAAGTGTAATGCACCGCAGAAGACAAAGCGTGAACACCGACCCAGCACTTGATTCCTGCTTTGTAGGAACAGGTTTTCTGAAATGAATCTGTTGAATGATATTTTTGGTACATACTTTGTAAAACTAAAAGAAAAATTATAAGGATCCAAATCAAGAATAATTATTACGCTCAATTTATATAGAGTAATTAGGTTCTTATTAATATTTTCATCATCATCATCATCATTATTGACAAAGTATACGAATGAGATAATATTATCTCATGAAATATAAATGTTCGATTTGAATTTTGAGACAAAATCAAACTATAAGGAGAGATACAAGAAAGACAAGCACCAAACACCATATATCAAAAGACCGCCCCAACACTCTGCTCCTGTTTAGCGGGAAGAGGTTTTATGGAATGAACCTCTCCTTAATAATATTCTTGGATATATGTTTTCTAAAATACAAATATCTATGTGTGTGTATATATAAGTATACACAATCAAGAATAATTGGTATAAAGAAATCATGTCCTTATTATACTTTTTTACGGTAGCATCTAATATTTGATACTACCAAATTAAATTCCATTAGCCATAGCTAGCCTCCCATATTAGGATGAATGACTATTAGTCAGAGTAATATATATGTTTCTAATATTGACATACTATTTTTATGTAACTAATTATATGAATATTGGAATAATATTCATGTTTTTTTATGTTTGATTTGAGACAGTCCTGAGTATAAGGAGCAATATACCAAAAAGGCTAGGGACCAAACACCATTTCGTGATGCAAGAATTAATGGTAGATTTGCTGTGTTTATGTTTGCCCATTGATGATATTTGCATGTCTGAGACCAATTCCATCAAGGCAGAAAATATGCATGTGAGTTCAATTTCCTGTGTTTGGTAACATATTCTGAGGAGGAAGCATTATGATGGGAAATTGAATCTCATCGCTTCTTTGCTTTTCATTCCCCGAAGTTTTTCTACGGCCACATAATTACTGCTTACCAAACTACACCAAATAATCCATTTCTCATCATGGCAAGCCCATCTCACCTATCAATTATTTGTTGTTCCTAATCTATGTATCGCTCTTTTACCAAAAGCAATTATTGAAATTTGAGGCACAATCTTTAAAAAATAAAAATAAATAAGAGAATATTATTAAGGATCAGTTCGGATGTCACACATTTGAAAATATGTCGTCTATAGAGAGCATATCCTCAAATCCAACAAGCTCATCGATGATATTTTGATAATCAAAATGTGCATAAAAAATTTAAAAGTGCCAATAATTATGAGAATAATCTTTAATGAAATTAAAATAGTTATATTTTATAGATCCTATATATTTATATACATAAGACACATTCTAAAAAATATTTTTAATTCTTTTTGTAAATCACTTTACAAACTTGTTGAAATGTTGACCCCCTCTTTGGTTTAGGGGGAGGGGAGGGACCTTGTTTGGGCAATTAAAATGAGGGGTAAGGGAGGGGAGGGTATTATTTTATTCAATAATGACTAAATTACCCGCACTGCGATGGGCCGTGCTTGAACCTATCCACTCCACAACTTGGTTCCTATCACAGCAGACCTGATCCACCGTCCACGTCTAATGTGATGATCTCCGGGTAGTATGAAGCACAGGCATGTTAGTGTAAATAGGAAGTGCGGTCGAAAGAGGGATTACATTATTGCACCAAAAAAAACCAAAAAAACAAAAGAGGGATAACATTCAGTAATATCTTGAGTTGGAATAAACAACACTTGAGATTTTGAGGGGTATTGGGTTGAGTTGTCTGATATGTATAGCTTCTACTTTTAGCCGTCAAGCTGGAAAAGATGTCGGGTCTTTGTGCAATTGGGAGAAGATTAATGCGTTTGTAATTATATAGTTAACTATTTATGTTAACTACATAATTTTAGTTACAGTTATTTATTTTCAGATGAAAAGAGAAGATTATAATTATATATCCTAATTATAATTTAGCTTACGTTCTGTTCTATCAGTATTTGTTTAAAAGGCTAAAAGTCATTTTTATTTATAAACTACATATAAAAGATTACAAATAATTATAAATTTAATTATAAATTACTTTTATCCTTTAACTTAAAAAGATTTCTTTTTTCATCATCTTATTATTTTTTCACCATTTGTTAACTGCTAGCGACCCTTACATTATATTTTTTATTATAAAATATTTAAATTGAAAGTAAAAATGATTTTTAACTTGATAAAAAATATTAAAAAAAAAATAAAATTCACTGATGATTAATAAACATTAAATGTTTTTAATATCAAAATAATAACTAAAAAAATCTTTAAAATTGTGAGACACAATTAACTCATAATTAAATTTAAAATCATTTGTAATTTTTCTACCTTTACCCTTGTTTAAACTTCACATGAATATATCTTTTTTTTTTTGGCCAGTACATGAATATTTTATTAACTATACATAAAACATAGGAGGGAAGTTTTTAAGATAAGAATATAATTGTTTACATATAATTTTTTTTTTCTTTCTAAATCAAACAAGGTTACATTAAATCATTAAAACCCCCCCGTCATAGAAAACAAAGCACAAATTTTTTCTTCCTTACTCGCCCTACATTGAAAACACTGATGTGGAGTGGGGTAGTAAGAGAAAGTAGAGACTAATTATAAAGGTCGGTTTTAATTAAATAATATAATAATGGGTTTAGCACAGGTAGTAAGAATAATATTAAAACTAATTTAATTTTATGAACCTTGAACAGATCATCTCTCAAAATTCCCAGCAGTCAATCTGGAAAAACACCTTCTCATGCAAAATCATTTACAAGATACTAATTCATTTTTTTAAAAAAAAAAGTCTCAAATATCAAAAATAAAGTTTTTCGTTAATCATTCAAAGCAAAAGTTTTAACATCGCAAACACAACATTCACCCATTGATACGGATCAATACCCACAAGTAATAAATCAGATGTGCCACTAATTGATGTTTATCCCATACAGATTCAAACTGGCTAGATATACAAGGAATAATCATTATAGGGGAAAGTCGAGCCTTCTTATCTGCCAAGCTCATTCACTTCAAAGTTCTACATCAAGCCCCTGAACTGCAACCTGATGACACAAAGTAGTCACTAAGTTCAATCCACCCCTTTTCGAGCCATTTCAACTTGTCCTCGTACTCCAAAAAAGAAAAAAAGTTCTACAGTAATCCCATTTATTTTTTCTTCAAATGAAATTGAAATGTAGCTGAATGATTTATGTTAACTCACGCATCATTCAGAAAAAATTAGCAATTTAAACCCAGATTTAACCGAGTCTAGTGGTACGTGACCTGAATGACCCAGGTGGCAGGGGAGTACAATGGACATGGATAGATGGCCCGAAAAAAGGACTAAACAAAAAAGATTGGACATGGACACTCTGGTTAGGTAAACGAAAATTGGTTCACATGATCTATGACTGCATTACATTCACAAAACAGAAGACACAATAAAACAAACGACTGATCTGGTTCGCATAAATATACCCCACATGACAATAAACGAAAATTAAAGCAGTTGAAGCTCCTGTTGCTCAGCAGCTAGTTATCTACCAAAAACAAAGCACCCAGAACATAATTCCACACCATAAAGAACATGCATAAATTCTACAACAGATTAATATTCCCATTTTTTAAGCTCCATGCCATCAGGAGGACTTCCCTCTACTTTCTTTGATCCCACTTCTTTCCAGTTAGTAGACAGTACAGTTCCATTAGATTCCACCTGCAAGGCATTGAAAAAACATTAAACGAAAGCATAGCCGTACTCTGAAGGACAGTAAACTTGTACCTGCTAGATTTGTGTCTCACAGTAGGAAGGATAAAGAGCAGAAATAGAAGTCAGCATTGCACATTCACCAAACTTTAATATATTAAACAATATAACTTACAAATGACTTCCTCATTGCTCTTCTTGTGTCCTCATCCGCATCTTGATATATTTCACGGAAAAATTTGTTCAGTGCAGCATCACCATCAAGCTTTTCTTCTTTCTCCTGGTGCGAACAAGCAGCAAAGAATGTCAGGATTCAGGAACTAAAAGTGCAACATGAATGAACAAGTAGATCAAGCATTTTAAACAGTAACAGACCAACCTCTTTCTTAACCTGAGCCTCAAGTTTATCCCAATCTACTCTTGTTGGTTTTGAGGACGGGTAAGTAGGCCTTGGACCTGCATAAACCATAAAAAGTATTAGCGAGATATTAATAATCAAAGAGCAGTCCGGTAGAGACACAAGATGCCAAATTGGAAAATCCTCCAAAAGATTTGAAGTGTAGAAAGGCTAGATGAGTGCTATCTGATAGTTTTTGTAAGCTGCTTGCTACCCTGATACATTTGATTACATCAAATTACCAAGAATCTTAATTTACCTGAGGATGCATTAACCTGTCTTTGAACAGTAATTTGCCCAGTGAATTCAAGAGAAGTCCATTGTAAAGGTTCTGCTTTAGCAAGGCGAATTTCAATTTTGGTAGACAATACCTCATATCTGCTTCTTGCAGGTATTATCTGAATCCAGAAAACAAATGTTAAGACGATTTGCAGCCTTAAAGACACAACTGAGTTAATATTATATACATGAGATGTGAAGCCTATTTGCTAACAGCACAATCTTGAGACCAATTTATTTTAAAAAAGAAATATGTAAACCGCAGATTAAATACATTTTTCTTCAATTAAAAGATAGAAGCTTCCATTTATACCTTTCCAAATAAGCGAGGTTGAAAAGTATATCCATCCTCACCAGGAACATCAATACAAACGCTTAGCTGACAAAATATGAAGTAAATTAGGAACACAGCAATCAACAAGATCACCAGGATGTAACCAAATGAACCATCAACTAAACAATTTTAATAAAAGTGTGAGACATACTATTTGTTCACCAAAGTCAACAGTAACTCTATCCCGCGGGATTCCCTTGGCAAATATGGTTACAACAACTTCATCAGGTTTCTGGTAGAATTCATGCCTGCACAAAAGTTGTTTACCAGAAATCAACGTATGTATGGTGAATACTAGTTTCTTTTTATAGGTCTGATGCAGATGTCTTAAAATCATTAAAAAAAAAAAGTGCTTATCAATTATAAAAAGAGTATTACAGGGTCGAAAGAATAAACTTCTTTGACATATAACAAATTATTTATTGAAATGTAAGAATCCTGATAAGACACCACACCCAAAAACTCATTAAAACAGGAAGGCATTTCGTATATGGATAGCTAACATCACAGGTATATCAGATACCTATAAGATTTCAGCAATAAGATACTAGAGTAAATAAGATTATCATAAGCAGAGCAATAGCAAATTATCGAAGAAACAATGCAAATTGAATGCAAAACAAAGCTCAAGGTTTGAGTATATGAGATCCTTATGCTTTCCAAGCATGAAATGCCTGTAAAATACGTTTTGCCAGAGCCCAATTCAAGCCCATCATGAGTCAGAGGCATCAAAAGACCATGGAAGACTCTCAAATCTGCCACAACTCTCTGTGTGGATACCCTCTCTCTCTCTCTCTCTCTCTCTCTCTCTCTCTCTCTACAGTTTTCAGTGGTGTATTTAATTTACATTATCTACATTTTTGTAATTCACTAATATAGATATCTCCTTTCAAATGTTTGCTTTAGCTCATAGAGAATTTAATTGTACTAGCATAGTGTGGGAAATAGTTAACCCTCCCTACACATACTTTTTATGCTATGATTTGGTCAAATACTTAAAAATTTGCACCCAAAAAAAAAAATTCAAAATTAATTTTATTGTATTACCTAGGGGGATATCTTGACATTTGAATATGCTATCTTTTTTCAATTATAATTGTCTCTTATGTGTTATTTATGATAGAGACATATATTTTACTAGATATTTATTCACATATGTAAAATCCTAAGAGTTTACAACTTAGTTTACCTCCTCCACATGAAAAAGCTTATACTTGCAAATTTGACAGCATTACTAAAGACATGTTAGATGCCTATGGCAATCACAAACATCAAACTAAGGCATCCAAGATGTCAAGTTTCCTGGATGCTAGAATGACGCACATACTGCATGAAAAAACTCCAACTGTAACCAAAGATACTTAACAGTAAATATGACAACACTTCACACATGAAAGCTCATAACAGAGCAAGGGCAAAGCACTAACCTGTACTTAAGTTTAGCTGCTGGTTCTGCCACCTGTTTTGAAAGGTCATTCTCTATATTTGAGGCAAGGTTGCTCTCTAGCTTAACATTTTCTGAAGAAACATCAGAGGTGGGACTCTTTTCCTGGATAGTTTTGGTGCTATTTTGAGCACTTTCCTCTGTTCAACATGTTACATCCATTGTTCCCATGTTAGTTTACCAGCCATATATCATATTTCCACATTGTCACTCTCAACAGGCAACATATAATCATGACATCTCATTTAACTTATGCAATCTGGAACACCAACACAGATGAAGAAGAAAGCCCTACTGCAAGGGAAGTGTTTTACCGTTTTAAAGGCAGAGGTTTACCTGCAATAAGATCATCACACTCTTTGATCAAAGTAATGAATCTTGATTCTCCCTGATCCAATGAAGCACCTTTCATCAGAGCATCTTTAGCAGTCTGATATTCCTCAAGCCTCATGCACGCAATACTGCAACCCAAATAGCATTAAAAAAATGAGATAGTCTAGTAAACAACACGGCTAACCCAGTATATAAGCAAATTATCAACGATTGTGAAAATATATTGAGTATATTGTAATCAAATGTGGTTGACAGCAAATCTGAAAAGTATGGCCAGACATATCCTTATTGGCAACATTCGAACTTCACAGAATACAGTAATATCATATCATTCCAATAAGTTAAAAAAGCATGCCATGTCAGAAACTATTTCTCAGCATATGAATTAAATATGAAATATTACTTTATAATTACAAGTATTATAGGAAAAGGATTATAGGAATAGAATGGGCAGCATCATTGGTCAATATATCAGCGATGGTGACAACGGCGGTCAAAAGAAGGGACTCACATCAGCAACATATACGTAGCAAACTAGCAACTAGCAGGCTGGATTGACACTTTAAAGGTACAATGTATTAAAAGAATGCAACATACCAGCAAAGAAATTATGCATTGATAAGCATTACTGAAGCAATCAGGCAAATAAAAAGATCCTAAAATGCAAGTTGATTGTTTATGTTAACTAAAAAGCATGTCAGAATGTGCAATTTTTTCTTTTAGTACAAAAGGTTCTAACTTGAGACTTGTCAAGCCTGGATAACTTCACCTGGCCTGAGTTGGTCTGGTTTCAGTGGAAATAAAAGCAAGGAAGGTTAATCAGACAAAGCAGCATTGCACTCACCCTTTGCGCGAATATGCTTTTGCTAGGTCAGGATTCAAGTCAATTGCCTTGTTTGCATCAGCAACAGCATCTGCTCAAAGCATTTACAATTAGTTGCAATAATTCATAAATCATATCCAATTCAAGCATACAACAAAGAAAAAGCATGGATATACAAACGCAAGCAACAAGCAAAACCAAGATACAACAACTCAACAAAGTCCACAGCCAGACATGTGAAGTGATGGAATGAAGCAAGGAACAGAGACTGAAATTCTGGCTGAAGTGTGAAAATAAACAAAAGAAGGAATTCCAACAATTTCAGATATTGGGGAAGAGAGATAATCAAACATGGCAAATACGTGATCATCAAGGAAAACCAAATAGCTCAAACAAAATTTCCATCTCAACTACAAAGAAACAAAAAAGACCACCGAAAACCCATGACATGTTTGTGTCCTGAAGAGGCTTCCCACATCAAAAAAATTCCATCTTGATTATCCTGGCTCTCCTACCTGATTTTACCTCACATAATCAGAGACTTTCTAGTTCTAGGATATAAAACCCATCAAACGCAATTTCGAGTTCCTAATCAAAAGTTGATAGCTCACACAAAACCCAAAAATAAAAGGAAATTTAAAAAAACATGAGGATCCAAAAGATTAGCACCATGGAATTCTCAACATCATTGGCAATTTCTCGAAAACAAGCAAGGGACTGGGTAAAGTGAGAAGCGTACCAGTGTAGTTGCTGAGTTTGATGTTAGCCTGGGCCCGGTCCGCATAGAGCTCGGCGCTAGGGTTGATGGCGATGGCCTGAGTGAGGAGGTCCGCGGCGAGCTCGTAGTGGTCATCGACAAAAGCCTCTTTGGCTTTGGCTTCGAGATCGGTAGCCATGGAAGGCAGGCGTCGCGGGAGAAGGAGTGGAAGAGTCTAGAAAGAAAACCGCAGAGAGAGTGAGAGAGAGAGTCTCCGATACAATAATTGACGAGAACACGATTGACCCAAAGAGGCTTATATGGAATCGAGTTGTAGGGAGATGAGCTTCAAGGAACAGAGAAAACTTAAAAAAAAAAAAATTAAAAATAACAATTAAGAAACAGCCCAGAAATTCCTTTTGAAAGAGCCCAGAAATTTCATTTAAGCCTGCCGACGACGCCAAAGTGACAAACGACGAAACGATTTTTTTTTTAAAATAAAATTAGTGTTATTAATGCTTAATTAAGTACAATTCGCTTATTAAGAAAATAAATAAAGTTCTACTTGCCTTCTTTTTCCTGCCAAAAAGCCACTTGCCTGATGTTATTAGGTGTTCAATTACAATTTTACACCGCAACTAGGATAAAATTTCACTTTTGCCTCTGTGATATGAAGGATTAATTGAAGTATGACAATGAAAATTAAAAATATGATATATTTATCGTAATAAAAAAGACAGAGAAGGTATACCCCATGTTTGGAACGACACAATGCTTAAATTTAAATTAATTAATAATATGGGACTATACAGTTACCTTATCACAAAAAATGAACCCAAAAACAATAAACTAACCGTGCAAATTAAACCCAACAAAAGAAAAAATTATACCTAAAATGGTGCTCGTTCATTGACTTTTATTAAGTATATTGAATTGCAAAATTTAAATTTGTTTAAAGCAATCACTTTACGTATCAAAATTCAAAATTGTCACCTTAAAAAATTGAAAAATAATATTTATTAATTAGGTATATATGACATTTATTATAAATGAACATTTTTGTAATTGTTAAAGGTAATATAAATTGATATGAACTTTCTTCCTTTCTTTTTTGATCAATATAAATTCGTCTACAAGAATGCTGAGTCGTTTATGTGGGAAGTAAACTAGAATTTGAAAAATGACAATGAAATGTGGTTTTGAGTAAATATTGTATTGATCGGTTGTTTAAAGAAGTCAACAGACTTGACTCCCCCTCCCCCCTTTTTTTCCTAGTCCTCCCTTTTAGTGTAAGAAATTGATCCATTAGAACAAACAGAATGCATAATACTCTATGTTCTGGTCCTTTGGCAATTATATGACAAAAACCTTTAAGGAAAAAAAAAAAAAGGGATAGTTTCCCGACGACATTAAACGACTTGCCAAATGAAGCCATATTTTCATTAAAAGAAGGAAATTTTTACTAAACACGTCCCGCTGCCATAATCAGAACGATCACAAATAAAGCAGATACTGTTAAGTTTGTATCAAAGCAGAAAAAAGGTATTGTATGTTTTTTATTTTTTAAAAAAAGTTACATAAATTAAACTGAGCATGACTCTCCCTTTTTGCAATTCTTATTTTAAAATTATATCAAGAGGATTTCAACTTTGATCACAATATCTACATCCTATCATATCTTAATCAATTCGCACGTGTTTTGGTTCTGCAACAGTTTGGAGTTCTTCTTTTGATGACAAGGTTCATGAATAACTTGAGAGGCATAAGAAAACACAAGAAAAAAATTTAATGGCAACAAAAAGAAATTGAGATGTTTGTATCCACAAATCTAAAGCTGTGTATTATTGTCTCGCAACATATGCAACTTGGGATGAATGAGGCTGAGTTCTTTTACTTCTAACTTAAAAACAAAAATGTTTAAAATTGTGCTTTTAAATAATTTTAAAAATTTTTAACCCATTTTTTTTGGCAAAAATATTCAAATGTCTCCTTAAAAGAAAGAATTCGACTTTCAGACTTCGAAGGTGAAAAAGCCCAACTACAAATAAATTGTATCTTGTACATATAAATATGGCAAATATATTGACAACCTAGGTTGAATTTCACCTGATTCACATGTTCAAATTTCACAAGATCCGAATTCTTAAAAAAACAAGGTTGAACCAGGTCAAAAAAGACAAGGTCGAAAAGTTACATGCCATCGGGATTAAAAAAAATATAATATCTATACATTGCCATCTTCGCACAAACTCTTAGTCGGGAGATTTACGCACTAGTTCATGATTATGGTTTTTTGAATGTACTTGGTACCATTTCTTTTTAATAGGCTTTCCCATTTGATTAAGCTCTCTCTCCATACTTAATCATCTAATCTCTCATCATAAATACATATGCCTCTTCACCGTGTTCTTCATTTTATTTCTCCCTTTTCTGTTCCCTCAATTCCAGGGCAAATGTAAATGCTCTTTAGTTCACCCCCCCCTTTTGGCAATTAGGTGGCGAGTCTTTTCCTTTTTTTCCCTTTTGTGTTCATTACTTATCTATTGTTCTAATCTCTACCATCATGCCCAGAAACATGCAACATACCTGAGCAAATGCAGAATACAGTTTGGGGGGAGGGGGTGGAAATCGTCAATTACCAAGTTTTCAACAAATCAGAATCTTGCCCTCGATCACAAGGGGAAGTATGAGACTAGGTCAAAGCCATGGAGAAAGCTACAAGCTAATAGCACCAGTATAGAACAAAATACAAGAGACTAGAAATTTTCTTGTTATTCCGTTTTGATCATCATTGGGGAGTGAAGACTTCTTCCGACAAACACTGTTCAATCTTGAACTTCCTGCATGTCAATAAATTCATGGCAAATAAAGAGGGGGGAATCTCAAATAGAAAAATGAAAGCATTGCTTAGCATATAGCTGCAGATCATCATGCCTTTCAAGTTGATCACCTTAGCTGACCGAAAGAGTGTCCTTTTTAGGTTGAGATGTAACAGCCTCCAGCGTGTTGAAAAATTCTTCAGGAAGAGGAGGCGGCCGATGGTAAGGAACATGCTTAGGAATTGGTGCGTCATTGTCAACAACCTCACATTCATAATCATCTGGGACACCCCATGGATCCCACTCTGCATTAAATGGGCATATATATAAATTAGATCCCACGTTTCACATTGTTCCTTAAAAGTGGTTTCACATTATCCCACGTTTCACATTGTTCCTTAAAAGTGGGTTCACATTATCCCGATGGAGACAGCTGAAATCACAGCAATACATCAAAGTAAAGATTTTTAGCAATGCAAGACATATAATTGCGCCATAAAGATGTTATCCTTGGATAAATGATGGCACCAAGTTGTCTAGTAAATCATCTTTTCTTCTTTAATAAACATGGAAATATATATTAATAACCAACCAAGAAGTACATAATAAGAAAGTAACCGCACCTCAGGCAACTCTAATCACTATTTCATCATTCACCACCTTACGACAGCAAGGTGGGAGATGATTAGAAGTCCAAAATGGGTACTCTAAATCATGAGAATAACTCACAAAAATATTTGCAACCTCATTAGCCTTTCTAAAAGTAAAATTAAAAATAAGAAACCAATTTCTATGGTTTAACTCCCTAGCCTCCAAAATAACTTCCTGAAAAGGGTGATTAATGATGCTGTCTCTAAGGATCAGGTTGAGAGCTTCAATGCAGTCACTGCTCACTTCTACTTGTCTGTAACCAAGATATCAAAAAAAATTTCCAGCCCCTCAGTTATCCCTTTGATTTCCGCAATTGCAGTAGGATAAGGATTCAAATGAGAACAAAACCCAATAATCCATTTGCCTTCAACATCTCTAACCACTCGCCCACAGGCACTCCTCCTATCCTCTAGAATAGATGCATCAGTATTCAGCTTAACAAACGGTAACAGGAGGACGTAAATCATCTTTTCATACAATTATGCTATGCCCCCTATAGTGAAAGGGGCTGGCTGAGGTTAAAAGGAGTTTCTGCATGTGCGAAATAATTAGGGCAGGTGAAAAGCCATGGAGAGGGCCGAGACGTGAGACATTTATGAGAAGGGAATGAAAAGACTAAGGCACCTACTCTAACGGTCAGAGAGGATTTTCGGAAAAGCTTCAGCTGCGAGGTGGGAGGTTTCTAGCTCTTCAATTACCAGGCAAGTCTTCTATATCTTCTGCAATTTTCATCTACTGCCATCCGTGAGTTCTGGTTTGTTGGATTGAATTATTAGGAATCAGCAAGTCACCCAACAGATAATCAAGAAATGCTAATGATGCACTAAAACAGTAACCTGCACCGATTAACAAGGGAAACTTCAGTAAACAACCCCCACCCTCAAAAAAAGGGAAAAAAGAAAAAAGCCTAGAGAATTAGAGCACCATGAGTTCTATAAAAAGGCAAGCTACTCTTGGCAGGGATTTTTTGATCGTCTATGTATCATATATTCTTTCTTATATAAAGCATAACTAAAAAATAGTGCAAAATCTTTGGAAAATTTCATCAAACTTCACACAGACACTTAAGGATGCTATTCCCCTTGATAAGATTATTGAAATTCAAGTCCCATAATCAGAGCGATAACCGAGCCAACAGCAATTTATGAGGAGCGTCTACTACTCTACCTCTAAATGCTCAAGTCTTGGCATATAAAACAAGGACATTTGGACTTGAATGCATGCTACAGAAGAGCACCAAAACTTTAAACTATCATGCTGCCTTTTAAGTTTTAAATTCTCCCCCTCTCCCTCGGAAAAGGTTTAGATCTTGATTTGCCGTATTTAATACCTGGTTCAATAGAACTAGCACACGGTGTAGGAACAAGAGTGCAAAGACGAGGTTATAATTTATAACAAATGCTTAGTTTTTTTAATGCTGCAACTTAATTGCGTACTTCGTAGACCAAAAAACATTGGATCTATCTCCAACACCATTGTTGGCTTGAACGTAACAACAGGACTCATTAAACAAAAGACGGAGCCTCTAGTACCGAATACAATTATCCATAGAATAATCCCCAAATCCTCTAAATTCTCACCAGCCAAATAGTTATTATACTCTAAGAGGTAACACAGCTGAAAATTAGCTAACTTTTCTATTTGGATCAAAATTTTCCACAATTTCCTTTCCTTTAAAAAAAATAATTTTCTTACCAACACATCAATCCCAATAGCAGAACGAAAAGAGATATATTAACGTTCAATACCGATCATTTTGCCAATGAGCGTGAGCTCATCCTGAGCCTCTTCGATGAGCTCCTCCACCTGGCCACAGCCAAGGCGCTTCTCGATCATTTCCCAATCCTCCTCTTCCTGGCAAACGTTGAGCCTGTGCCTCGTGAAGCTTTCGACGGCCTTACGGTAGCCTTCATCCTCAGGGACGGCCCGGATCTCATTCAGGGTTTTGGTGTAGAGGCCAATCAGCACCTCTCGCGCGTTCGGCACCACATCCAGCCCCACAATCCCCGTCGTCTCCTTCACTTTGGCCATCAATGGCCGAGCGACCGCGCGCAGGAACATTTTTCAGAGTCCAATCTGCCCCGCACTCGATCAGTGTTTCGTTTATTCCGCGCAGTGTTGTAATTTGCTGTCCAAAGTTCTTTGTTCAATCAAACAGAAAGAGGGGGACGCTCCGACCCGAATGAAATGTAAATCGGATCGGGTATATTTTGGGTCCGGGACTTACCGAGCGAATAAAGCTTTAATGCTTGATCGCATTTTTTCCCCACTTGATAAAAAGCAAGCGGCACTAGCTATTTGCCCAAAAAAAAACGTGATTGCACCATGGTGTATCTATAAATTATGGAAGAATTTCAATGAAAACCCATTAATCACACTTATATAAATTTAAAATATTTAAATTTTTAAAATTTTATTGTAATTCAGGTGTACTAATTTAATATTAATTTTTTTTTAAAAAATGACAAATTACCTCTCGTTTAAATTAATATTAGAATTGCCCTACTTCACTTGCTTATTTATTTATAAAATATTATTAATTGCCTTACTTCACTTGTTCATTATTAAGTGAAAATCTAGTAACGAACAATTGAAATAGGGCAATGAATAACAGTTTATAAGTAAATAAAAAATGTATAGTATAGAAACTAATAAGTTATCTTAGGATGATTTAAATACCTAAAATAAAAAAAATTAAGTAGAAAAATTAATAACATTTCATAAGTAAATTAACAAATGACATGGGATAATAAACAAATGAAATAGCAAAGTTTTAATATTAATTTAAATGAGGGGCCTAACCAAAAAAATTAAATAAGGAACAATTTTATCATTTCTCTTAAAAATTTAATATTAAATCAATACTCTAACATTATAATATAATTTTAAAAATTTATAAACTTTGAATTTAAATAAATGTCATCGAAAGATTTTTATTGAAATTCTTCTATAACTTATTGTGTAAATTTTGGGGATTTGTCACCCACCCCAAAAAAACACACGCACGGAAATTTGTGAATTTATCCATAATTCATGAGAGAACCAAATGTGAAATTTCCGAATTAAATTGGATGATTCACATTCAATGTTAATTTATTTTCATATTATTAATATTTTTATTCAACAAACACATAATCTAACTGTCATGAATTATGAATTATTGATAAAAGAATAAATTTATTATTTAAAAATTTTAAATTTAAACCATATAAAGTATAAAATAAAAAATTTAACTTTATTCTATCGAGAAAAAGTTAATTTTAGACCTCCAGATCTAATTTAAATGGTTCAAATATATCTTATCTCATTATAATAATGAGAGGTGAATTATGCTATTAATTAAATTAATAATAACAATAACATGTTGTTATAATTATCTGTGACCATTGGTTTATAACTGCAAGAACTCTCCTATAATATAGCTAAACAGTAATAATCATAAAAAAAATTGTGAAATTTATCCATATACGATATAAAACCAATAGAAAACATTTAAATATATGAATCATGAACATTGTAATTCATTATAGACATATGTGTTTGTGTGTAAAACATGGCACATAGTTTAGTCATATGTAATGACTTATAATAATAATCCTCCAACTACTCCAACTTTTATAAAAAAAAAAAAGAAAAATTCTCCCACTGCCCGTTTCGAAAGAAGCAAAGGTCATTCAGGTCAAAAAATAAAAAGCAATGAACGTTCAATATTTTAATTAAGCTATCTTGGTTACTTGGTTAGAGTAACACATGCTCGTAAATTTTTGCTCAAGGGAACCCGAATTATCAATGATAATTTTCACAATCATTGTATGTATGGTGAATTTGAAGCTATCTCAAATGAAACCACAAGCACATGTCAATAAATTGACTTCAGCAGAACAAGATATCTAATGTTATATAGTACAGTTATTTTGCAAACTAAACTGGAACATGTAAGGCCTCATAAATTATCGTAAATTCTTTCTCTCGGTCACAAACTTGTAAAAGCAGGTGGATAAAGCAAATGCCTTATTAGAAATTCTTCTGGTGATGAGATGGAAGAAGCGTATAAGGCAACCTTGCGAAGAACTCTACAACATCGATGAATCAAAAGTAAAAAGTAATTTGTTAGCCAACAAATTAAACTCAAGAGAGCTGAAAAATAGTGAACAAAACACAGTTCCGGAAAGGATACATTTAGCTTTACCATAAAATACATATTTTATGAATAGTCCTTTGCAAGAAAGCTATCGATATATTATCAAAATCTAATCCCACAAAAACACTCATTATGAACAGTAACAGCTCAGTTTTGAGCTTCGTGACTCATATCTTAGCTAAGTGTGTGTTTGATTTTTAGTTTATCAAAAGTTTATTTGATAAAAGTTTATTTGATAAAAATTAATTTAGTGAAAGTCATTTATTGTAACAAAATTTATACTTGAATATATTTTTCTTAAAAGTTAGTTTGGTACACTAAAAGTTGTTTGATTTGTGATAGTGAAATGTACTTTTAAATGTACAATTATTAAAAATGATATTAATTTATAATGATTTTTAATTTTTATTATACAAATATAATATATTTAGAATATCTAAAAAATGTGATAAAAATTTTAAATAACATAAATTTTGATCTATAATGCTAAAAATTTGATCTCTAGTTATTTATATTTTTTTAATTTCTAATTTTAAAAAATATAATAAAGATTTGTAATTTTTATTATACATTAATGATAAAAATTAACATGATTAATTATTCAATTTATAATGTTAAAAACTTGATACCTAATTATTATTATTGAAATAATAATTATATTTTTAATGAATTAACTATTTTTTAAATAAAAGAATAAGATATTAAACTTCAGGTAGTATGGTCAAATAACATTTTACTTTTTAAATTCACTTTTTAAAAATTTCAAATAGTTACATTTCATAAATTTACTTTCAACTGCTGTTTGAATGTATTTTTAAAATGTATTTTTGTATAAAATATTTTATCTAAACAACTTTCACCTTCTTAAAAATAAAATTTTGCTTTCTAAACATGAAAAATTAAAAAATCAAACGGACCTAAATTTTGTTTTTCACTGTTTGGCTTGAAAGGGACTGGAGAGGTATTCTCTTTAAATAAAGCCTGTCTTAAAAAATTATAATTTTTAAAGAAATTATAACAGTGACATAAGCTACATGCCTTTCTCCCTTCAAAAAAAAAAAAAACAAACCTAAATACTCCTCTTAGTTAATCTGGCTCCTGTCTTTCCTTCTTTCTTCATTTGGCTTGGCTTCACTCAACTCCCTTCTTCCTCACTCGTCTTCCACCCTTGCAGTCACTTTGGCTGTGAAAGCCACCATCAACTTTTTTATCTTAACCTTTTCATCATTCTCTCTACCTTGAAGCCCCATAGATCTCTTCTTTTCGAAGCTTCGTCCTTCAATTTGCGTCCAATCTCCACAGATCAATGCCTCCCATGCCCTTGACTTTCCCTTTCTCCCTCAATATCTTCCATTTCTTCTTTTTCTTTTTCAGATATACAAATCTCTGCTTCAACATGGGAAAACCCATAGGCATGGGAGCTTTGGAAAGAAATACAGCAATCATCGTAGTGTTAAAGCGCGCATATATTTACACTCTAATATTGTTTTCTATGCCTCCATGTCTTTGATTTTTCCCTTCGTCTTCTCATCCATGTCAGGTTCTACAACTTCTTCTTGAGGTATATGTACTCTATGTTTTGTACGACGGAAATCCCATTGCACTAACTTGGTTTTGAGTTGATTGGTCTGACTTTTTCAACCATGCAGCTACTTCTATTGTTCGATTTCTATTTTTTTCTTAATTTAGATTTTTGTTCTTATGTTGTAAACATTTTTATTTTGATTTCATGTTGGTTTTGTTGACTACAGGTTTTAGTTTTGACAATATTGAATGGCTCCGACAGTATGTGATCGTTTATTCATTCACTTGCAAAAATTGAGTTCTGAAAAAATTTATAACAATAACAAATTTTAAATGAGATGCAATCATTTGTTCATTCACTTGCAAAAAGAGGGGGGGGGGGATAGAAAATGACATGAACACAAAACAAAAATGAAAACCAAATTCTAATAATTACCTTCAAGTTAAGACTCCTTTTGTTGTGCAATCCGACAATGTTTATGGCAACCACGACGTACACTTTGTCATGTGCATCATTCATCAATTTAAAATAAGCATATCTCCAATATTTGTTCAGAATTAGAAAGCTGCAAAACCGAGAAAATCCTATACTGAATCCGAGTGACAAACTAATATAGAAACCTTGATTGAAGAATTTTTCATTATTTTTGGAATCTCCATTGTCTTGATTTCTTGGACACTTCGGAAGAGGATTACCACATAGTCTAGCATTTCCCACGTAAGTAGAGGGATCAAAGATCTGCAATTGAGTGCCCATTAGAATTTCTCCAGACAAGTCCTTGTATGATAAGTCCATCATGCTAAGATATTTTATTTGTGAAAGCCCCGAAGGAATGTGTCCAACTAAGTGGTTTCTTGACATATCAAGACAGTCAACTGACTTTAATTGTCCAACTGTTGCAGGGATTTGTCCACTAAGCATATTTCTTGAGATGTTTAAGCAAACCAATCCAACAGGGTCCATCACTTCACTTGGAATCTCCCTTATTAGTATGTTGCTTGAGAGGTCAATAATAAACCCATTATTTACGCAATTTTTGGGGACTTTTAGACTTAAATATGTCAACTAATTGTGATAAAATAATGAAAAAAATAATTCATATAGCCTCACTAAGTTATTGTGTGTCAAAATGCAGGAAAGGAAAAAAAAAAAGGACCCAAAAATAAGTTTAAAAGGAGAAAGTTCACCTCAAGAACTTTCGTCCAGGGGCGAATGAAGCATGAAGGATTTCAATCACTAGAGGATGAAAAAAAGGATGGAAGAATCCTTGCCTCAGTTACATCAAGGACAGATGAAATTACTCTATGCATGACCAGGGGCAGACAAAAGGAAAACACATGTATTGGATTTAACTTAAAAGAGATGTGATACATCAAGTTTGGGGCTTCTATGGGGAGCAAAATTATATAAATAAGCCCTAGAAACACTTGAGGAAGACATTCATTTTCTTAGAGGCAATTT